GAGGAGGAGGAGGAGGAGGAGGAGGAGGACGAGGAGAACATTTCAAACGCAAGCTTCACCGCTGTCTCTCGGCAGGGAAGGTCGAACGAACCGAGGATGACCAACACGAGCACCCAGAATCTGTAGAGCAGCAGCGCGGGAACGATGTACAGCTGCACGGGAAGGAGGAGGAGGAGGAGGGGGAGGAGGAGGAGGAGGAGGAGGAGGAGGAGGAGGAGGAGGAGGAGGAGGAGGAGGACGGGGAGCAGGACATTGCCCCATGTTTTGTCACATTCGGGCCATACCTTGATAGATGGCAGAGAACCCACCCCCCTAGTAATCACCCCCCCGACACGCGAAACCTTTCCCACAGAATCGCACAGGGCCGGGCTGTTTAATAAACGCCCAGGCCCTTTTAGTAAACGCCAATTGTCGGGTCCAGGTGTTTTTCCCCCCTTGCCTTGAGGAACGCACCTGGGAGGGGGGGGAGGTCAAACACGATGCCGCTCGATAGAGTGAACACGTCCGAATGCCGCCGCCGCCGCTCCGCTGCCTCCATTGCTGCTGTCCTGTGCCTCCTCCCTCCCTCGTGCGCGGCACTGCTGTGAACGCCGTGGGGAAAGCGGTCTTTCAGAGAGCAGCAGCAGCAGCAGCAGCAGCAGCAGCAGCAGCAGCAGCAGCAGCAGCAGCAGCAGCAGCAGGAGGGGAAGGTGAATGGGGAAACAAAAGGATAAGGGGGAGAATCGGCGCCTCGAGAAGACGGGGCCTGGGATTGAGGGCTGAGGGTTTACACTATGCATCAACGTCCGCGGGCCTCGCCGCGGTGTTCGTTGGTTCCCGCCAGTCCGCTTCGCTATGATCCCTCGTAACAAAACGTAGGATTCGCGTCGCGACGGCTACCTTTCTGGCCACTCGATGCCGCACTCCCTCGTGAAACAAATAAGACTCGCGTCGCGAAGGCAGCCTTCTGGCCTGCCGATGCTGGAATACCGAATCAAAAAAACTCAGGGTTCGCGTCGCGAAGGCCTCCGAGCGGGCTTTCGCTCGTGCAGGCTCGCGCGGAGCGCTTGTCGGGCCGCTTCGGAAGCGCCCACGCTCGTGCAGGCTCGCGCGGAGCGCTTGCCGGGCCGCTATGGAAGCGCCCCCGCTCGCGCAGGCTCGCACGGAGTGCTTGAATGGCCGCGGGCAAATCCTGAGGGCCTCCGATCATGGCTCTCCGCACATTTTCTGTCAGAGGGAGGGGGCCTAACGATCATTCCCTGTCCCTGGGCGCGTGGCTGAAGTGGGGTTCTGCGCTGAAGATTGTTATTATTGTTGCTGCTGCTGTTGATTATCGCCGTCCTCGCCCCCGACCCACCCCGCGACCCACCTGCGACCCACCCCGCGACCCACCCGCGACCCACCCGCGACCCGCCCACGACCCGCCCGCGACCCGCCCGCAGCCCGCCTGCGACCTTCCCCGCGCCCTCGCTCTTATCCGCAACTGCGGGGTGCTACACATCATTGAGTCTAGGTTTGGGCTCCGGCGCCTCTGGCCCCAGCTCCGTGCTCGGCCGCGGCCCTGGCCTCCCGTGGCGCGCCCTGTGCCGGCCTGGGCCCCCGGGGCCGCGAGCCCCGGGCCTGTAGCCCCAGGCAGGGCCTTTCCGAACACGTGCCCTCAGACACCGTCGACGCTGCGATGGGCGAGGAGATTTTGGGCCCAGCTGTAGTAGCTACTCCCTCCTCCTCCCTTTCTCCTCCTCCTCCTCCTCCTCCTCCTCCTCCTTCCCAATCATTTTTTCTTGATCATCTGATCTGGCTTTGGGCTCCGGCGCGTCCAGCCCCCGTTCCGGTCCCCGCGCCGCCCGTGCAGGCTCGCGCGGAGCGCGTGTCGGGCCGCTCTGGGAGCGCTCCTGCTCGCGCAGGCTCGCGCGGGACGCTTGTCGGGTCGATCCAGAAGCACCCTCCCTCGCTCGCGCAGGCTCTCCAGGAGCAGAAACGCTCCCGCTTGCGCCGGCTCGCCCGGATCACCTGCTGGGCCGCTCCGGACCGCGCCCCCTGCGCGCAAGCTAGCTCGGAGCGACTCGGACCAGCTGGCCATCCTCCGTCATGCTCTCGTTCTGGCTTGCCCACTCTGGAGTGCTTTTCGCCTGGAGGGCTCGCCCACGCCGCAGGAGCCTGCTGCCAGCACGCCAATACCAGGAGAGACCTCGCTCCAAGGCGAGCCCGCCGCCGCGCGCCTGCGGTTCCTGCCCTCTGGGCCTTCGGGCGCCCCCCCTGCCCTGCCGAAAATGGTGTAGGCCCTCGGGGGACGGTGCCGCCGGGCTCCGACCTGGGCGGTGTCTCGAAGCGACGCTCCCGCACACCGCAGTGCAGGCTGATGTGAAGGCATTATTATTATTATTATTATTATTATTATTATTATTATTATTATTATTATTATATATATATAGATAAAACTCTTCGAGCGGGCGCGAGCACCCGCGTGGTCGTGCCACGAATTCACGGGCGCAGCCGCTGGCCCGCGCGAGCGGCGCGGGGCGGCGGCAGGGCCCCGGCGGCCGAGGAGGGGGCGCTCACCGCCGCTGGCCCCGCCTCCTCGCCGCGCGCGGGGCCGCAGCGCCGTGCACCAGCGTGCGGTCCCGCTCCCCGCGCGCCTGGGCTGCCTCGCGCCCACGGGCGCGAGCGTCCTCCGCCGACTCGAAGCCGTGCGCGCGGAGGACGCCCTCCAGGGCGGGCACGAAGAGCTCCTGCACGCCCTCGCGCGCCGCTGCCTGCACGGCCTCCGCGGCCGAGGAAGCCGAGGCGCTCGCCAACTCCGCAGCTGCACCGCCCCCAGGCCCAGCCGCGCCAGCAGCACTGCCCGCTGCATGCCGTGCTGCCGCAGGTCTTGGCGGGGCGCCAGGGCCGACCTCGCGCTCCGCCGCCAGGAGCTCGTCCTCCTGGGGGATGGGCCCGCCGAAGTCGTCCATCTTGAGCGACCTCCGCCAGCGCTGCATCTCCTCCCAGGTCGGCTTCTTGAGCATCGCGATCGGCGGCTTCTCCTTGCCTGGCAAGCGCAGCTTGCCGAAGTCCGTCCTGGCCTGAGCTCGCGACCCCTGGCTTGATCTGTGATCTCCACCACCGCGCGGCTTGGCCAAGCCCCTGTGCGCGTACCTCGGCTGGTGGCAGTACATGAAGCAGCGCGTGCACACCAGGATGGCCTCGTGCGGCTTGCTCACAACATTGGTCTGCATCAGGTTGTGGCCGTGCACTACCCATGGCTCAGTTCCAGCCGCGGGAGCAAGGGGCGGGCGTTCCTCCTCCA